GAGATGGTCAGAGACTGCAGATATGATACAGGGGATGGTCAGAGACTGCTGACATGATACAAAGGATGGGCAGAGACTGCAGACATGATACAAAGGATGGTCAGAGACTGCAGACATGATACAAGAGATGGTCAGAGACTGCAGATATGATACAGGAGATGGTCAGAGACTGCTGACATGATACAAAGGATGGTCAGAGACTGCAGACATGATACAAGAGATAGTCAGAGACTGCAAACATGATACAAGAGATGGTCAGAGATTGCAGACATGATACAAGAGATGGTCAGAGACTGCAGACATGATACAAGAGATGGTCAGAGAATGCAGACATGATAAAAGAGATGGTCAGAGACTGCAGACATGATACAAGAGATGGTTAGCAAATGAGAACTTAATACAGGAAATGGTCAGAGACTGCTGACATAATAACAAATATGGTCAGAGACTGCAGACATGATACAAGAGATGGTCAGAGACTGCAGATATGATACAAGAGATGGTTAGCAAATGAGAACTTAATACAGGAAATGGTCAGAGACTGCTGACATAATACAAAGGATGGGCAGAGACTGCAGACATGATACAAGAGATGGACAGAGACCAAAGACATGATACAAAGGATGGTCAGAGACTGTAGACATGATACAAAGGATGGTCAGAGACTGCAGACATGATACAAGAGATGGTCAGACACTGCAGACATGATACAATAGATGGTCAGAGACTGCAGACATGATACAAGAGATGGTCAGAGACTGCAGACATGGTACAAGAGATGGTCAGAGACTGCAGATATGATATAGGAGATGGTCCGAGACTGCAGACATGATACAGGAGATGGTCAGAGACTGCAGATATGATATAGGAGATGGTCAGAGACTGTAGACATGATACAAAGGATGGTCAGAGACTGCAGACATGATGCAAAGGATGGTCAAAGACTGCAGACATGATACAAGAGATGGTCAGAGACTGCAGATATGATACAGGAGATGGTCAGAGACTGCTGACATAATACAAAGGATGGTCAGAGACTGCAGACATGATACAGGAGATGGTCAGAGACTGCAGATATGATACAGGAGATGGTCAGAGACTGCTGACATGATACATAGGATGGTCAGAGACTGCAGACATGATACAAAGGATGGTCAGAGACTGCAGACATGATACAAGAGATGGTCAGAGACTGCAAACATGATACAAGAGATGGTCAGAGATTGCAGACATGATACAAGAGATGGTCAGAGACTGCAGACATGATACAAGAGATGGTCAGAGAATGCAGACATGATAAAAGAGATGGTCAGAGACTGCAGACATGATACAAGAGATGGTTAGCAAATGAGAACTTAATACAGGAAATGGTCAGAGACTGCTGACATAATAACAAATATGGTCAGAGACTGCAGATATGATACAAGAGATGGTTAGCAAATGAGAACTTAATACAGGAAATGGTCAGAGACTGCTAACATAATACAAAGGATGGGCAGAGACTGCAGACATGATACAAGAGATGGACAGAGACCAAAGACATGATGCAAAGGATGGTCAGAGACTGTAGACATGATACAAAGGATGGTCAGAGACTGCAGACATGATACAAGAGATGGTCAGACACTGCAGACATGATACAATAGATGGTCAGAGACTGCAGACATGATACAAGAGATGGTCAGAGACTGCAGACATGGTACAAGAGATGGTCAGAGACTGCAGATATGATATAGGAGATGGTCCGAGACTGCAGACATGATACAGGAGATGGTCAGAGACTGCAGATATGATATAGGAGATGGTCAGAGACTGTAGACATGATACAAAGGATGGTCAGAGACTGCAGACATGATGCAAAGGATGGTCAAAGACTGCAGACATGATACAAGAGATGGTCAGAGACTGCAGATATGATACAGGAGATGGTCAGAGACTGCTGACATAATACAAAGGATGGTCAGAGACTGCAGACATGATACAGGAGATGGTCAGAGACTGCAGATATGATACAGGAGATGGTCAGAGACTGCTGACATGATACATAGGATGGTCAGAGACTTCAGACATGATACAAAGGATGGTCAGAGACTGCAGACATGATACAAGAGATGGTCAGAGACTGCAGATATGATAGAGGAGATGGTCAGAGACTGCTGACATGATACAAAGGATGGGCAGAGACTGCAGACATGATACAAAGGATGGTCAGTGACTGCAGATATGATACAAGAGATGGTCAGAGACTGCAGATATGATACAGGAGATGGTCAGAGACTGCTGACATGATACAAAGGATGGTCAGAGACTGCTGACATGATACAAAGGATGGTCAGAGACTGTAGACATTATACAAGAGATGTTCAGAGACTGCAGATATGATACAAGATATGGTCAGAGACTGCAGACATGATACAAGAGATGTTCAGAGACTGCAGACATGATACAAGAGATGGTGAGAGACTGCAGACATGATACAAGAGATGGTCAGAGACTGCAGACATGATACAAGAGATGGTCAGAGACTGCTGACATGATACAGGAGATGGTCAGAGACTGCTGACATGATACAAAGGATGGTCAGAGACTGCAGACATGATACAAAAGATGGTGAGAGACTGCAGACATGATACAAGAGATGGTCAGAGACTGCAGACATGATACAAGAGATGGTCAGAGACTGCTGACATGATACAAAGGATGGTCAGAGACTGCAGACATGATACAAAAGATGGTGAGAGACTGCAGACATGATACAAGAGATGGTCAGAGACTGCAGACATGATACAAGAGATGGTCAGAGACTGCTGACATGATACAAAGGATGGTCAGAGACTGCAGACATTATACAAGAGATGTTCAGAGACTGCAGATATGATACAGGAGATGGTCAGAGACTGTAGACATGATACAGAAGATGGTAAGAGACTTCGGACATGATACAAGAGATGGTCAAAGACTGCAGACATGATACAAGAGATGGTCAGAGACTGCAGACATGATACAATAGAAGGTCAGAGACTGCAGACATGATACAAAAGAAGGTCAGAGACTGCAGACATGATATAGAAGATGGTTAGAGACTGTAGACATGATACAGGAGATGGCCAGAGACTGTAGACAGGAAAAAAGAGATGGTCAGAGACTGCGGGCATGATGTAAGAGATGGTTAAAATCTGCAGACTTGCTTCAGGACATTTCAGGGACTGGAGACATTACACGAGGCTATTACAGGACAATAGGTAAACACAGATTAGTGTGTACAGGGGCCCTAAGAGCTGCACAGAAAGTGCTAAGGGACTGCAGGTTGGACATCAGGGGTGTAGAAACTAATGGTGGTTATACACGTAACCATCTGAAGCGTTCTTCACAGAACTGGATCATATCATTGGATCTGTGAATTATTGTGAAGACAATTACTTTGATTTATTCAAAATTGTTCCGATTGGTCCAGATGAAAAATCTTATTGTAGGAAATGAGGAAAAGTCATTCAATATGATTGTTAAATTGATACAACGTATTAAATCCTCCTTTTTATTTTTTATGCACTGCTTTGGTGCCCTGACTGCTGCCCCACGTTTCCTGTTTCAGAGTGGCTCCATAGGATGCTGCGGGAGAAAGGAGCCACCCTGGCATGCAGGGACTAGAGTTGTGCTCCAGAAGATCATAAACAATTAAAAACATTCAATCTCCTTACTATCGGCATTCTAGAACTATTATATAATATTTGTCACGCTCCAGGCTTACTGTACAGTATGACAGCCTAAGAAATAATCCACTTGGCGAAGCTCATGATTATTGAATGTGTAGCTCGGGTCCATTAATAATTCACATTAAAATCATATAATCCATAGACAGTGATGGAGAAGTACCGATGGTTGTATTTTATGTATTTTGCCGCTTCTTTCCTAGGTAGGAAGACACGTATGTAATGTTTTGGATCCTTTTTTTTACATCATGTAATATGCATCAAATAATATTTACATCCTAAATGGCTATTGGCAGGCTTTTTTTGCTGAGTTCCTCCCCTACAGCTCACCCACCTCCTTACAGCTGTCATATGTGGCCAAATAATTGAGGGCCAAGGATTGGAACACACATGTGCAGCATTTCTAGCCTGCAGGGTGTTTCTTGCACCCATCCAAATACTACTCATAAATGCTTTAATGGCTCGTTCACCCTAGAATGCGGTGCAGGAGAGCCACGGTGCGGGAGAGCCGCAGTTAGGGCTGCTGTTAGAAACCACAGGGCCCCATACGGCCAACCTGACAGGCCCCCCCCCCCCCCAAAAAAAAAAACAAAAACACAGCTTACTATACTGCAGTTATGAATGAAAGCAGAGATGATCAGTACTGATCGCTCACTGTGTTCATTCAGTAAAGGAAGGGGCTGGTAAATGGGACATATTTACTGGAAACTTCCCCCACTCTCCATCCTGAAGGATCCTATTGTCCTAGTGCCTGCAGCTGCCAGTGGAAAGGAAAGGAGGGACGCTGGCAGCACTGGGGGGTTGGGGCACACAGGGGGGCCCGGGCAGCAGGGGGAACATGGTGCACATGGAAGGTGTAGTGGGGCAATTTCTTGCACCCATCCAAATACTACTCATAAATGCTTTCATGCTCGTTCACATTAGAATGCGGTGCTGGAGAGCCGCGGTCAGGGCTGCTGTTAGAAACCACGGGGCCCCATAATTAAAAATAAAAATTATAATTTTTGGTTATAAACTAATTTGGGTTATTTTTTTTTTTACTAAAAAGATAACGGAATAAATTTTGGCAAAGATTTATGATGAAAGATTATTTATTTGCAAAATTTTATAAGAAAAACACTTTTTTTTTTAATTTTTGGACTTTTTCATTTACATAGCAAAAAAAATAAAAATCCCAGTGGTGAATAAATACCACCAAAATAAAAGTTTTATCTGTCTCAAAAAAATGCTAAAAAATTCATATGGGTACAGTGTTGCATGACTGCGCAATTGTCATTCAAAGTGTGATAGCGCTGAAAGCTGAAAATTGGCCTGGGGGGGAAGGGGGTGAAAGTGTCCGGACTGGAAGGGGGGTAAAAGTGTCCGGACTGGAAGGGGGGGGAAAGTGTCCGGACTGGAAGGGGGGTAAAAGTGTCCGAACTGGAAGGGGGGGAAAGTGTCCGGACTGGAAGGGGGGGGAAAGTGTCCGGACTGGAAGGGGGGAAAGTGTCCGGACTGGAAGGGGGGAAAGTGTCCAGACTGGAAGGGGGGAAAGTGTCCGGACTGGAAGGGGGGGGAAAGTGTCCGGACTGGAAGGGGGTGAAAGTGTCCGGACTGGAAGGGGGTGAAAGTGTCCGGATTGGGAGGGGGGTGTGAAAGCGTCTGGACTGGAAGGGGGGGAAAGTGTCCGGACTGGAAGGGGGGGAAAGTGTCCGGACAGGAAGGGGGGGGAAAGTGTCCAGATTGGAAGGGGGGAAAGTGTCCGGACAGGAAGGGGGGGAAAGCATCCGGATTGGAAGGGGGGGAAAGTGTCCGGACAGGAAGGGGAGGAAAGTGTCCGGATTGGAAGGGGTTAATTTATTGAGCACTGAGGTGGAAGAGGCTGATGTGTTTTGGGCTCCATGCACACTGGGGGGGGGGACTTTTTGATAACACTGGTACAGTTAGCTGTGTAAAGTCACGTTAAAAACGTGAGTTTTTCAGCTCTTTTCAGCGTTTTTTTTCCGTTAGCTTTTTCCGCGTTTAGAGGCATTTTTCCGTATTTGCAATTTTTAGCAGGTTTTTTTGGTCAAAAACTGTCCAAAAATGCCGGTTTATGACGTTTTACTGCGTCTTGTCGTGTTTTTCAGCGTTAGAGCATTTTTACAGCAAAAAAAATCCTCTACAAACCCACTAGTCCTGGGTTTTTTTTAAAAAAAACTCTGTTGATTCCAGTCTCTGTGTGTACGGACACATAGGATAACATGCGTTGATTCCAGTCTCTGTGTGTACGGACACATAGGATAACATGCGTTGATTCCAGTCTCTGTGTGTACGGACACATAGGATAACATGCGTTGATTCCAGTCTCTGTGTGTACGGACACATAGGATAACATGCGTTGATTCCAGTCTCTGTGTGTACGGACACATAGGATAACATGCGTTGATTCCAGTCTATGTGTGTATGGACACATAGGATAACATGCGTTGATTCCAGTCTCTGTGTGTACGGACACATAGGATAACATGCGTTGATTCCAGTCTATGTGTGTACGGACACATAGGATAACATGCGTTGATTCCAGTCTCTGTGTGTACGGACACATAGGATAACATGCGTTGATTCCAGTCTCTGTGTGTACGGACACATAGGATAACATGCGTTTATTCCAGTCTCTGTGTGTACGGACACATAGGATAACATGCGTTGATTCCAGTCTATGTGTGTATGGACACATAGGATAACATGCGTTGATTCCAGTCTATGTGTGTATGGACACATAGGATAACATGCGTTGATTCCAGTCTCTGTGTGTACGGACACATAGGATAACATGCGTTGATTCCAGTCTCTGTGTGTACGGACACATAGGATAACATGCTGGGGGGTTTACTGGCTGTAGAGAAAAAATGTCAAAAGCCAAAAACAGCCGCTGTAAAAAGTGCGCATGAGGGCTAACGCTGAAAAACAGCAAAACGCAGTAAAATGCAGCAAACCGGCGTTTTTGGACTTTGACCAAAAAAACATTTTTTTTTGTAAAAGAAAATGCTAAAAAACGCAAATGCGGAAAAACACATCAAAACGCCACTTTTTGGGTAAATAAAAGCTAAAAAAATTTAAATGCGAAAAACTCCGCTTAACATAATGCAAAAACGCTAAAAACTCATGTTTTTGATGTGACTTTACACAGCTAACATTACCAGCGTTATTAAAACACCCCGTGTGCATGGAGCCTATGGAGTTGAGTTTTGGTAAAAAAAAGTCCAAAAACACCAGTTTGTGGCATTTTACCGCGTTTTACCCCATTTTTCAGTGTTTTTATTGCTAAAAAAAACTCCTCTAGAAACCCACTAGTTCTGGGGGGTTTTTTCAAGCCAAAAAACTTTGATTCCAGTCTATAGGAGAGAGCCATGCAGGGGATCGGTTCCAGTAACTACCCCCCCCCCCCCACCGCCATGCTGATCACCCTCCCTGCTGGAAGCTGGCAGCACTGGGGGGGTGGGGGCACACAGGGGGGCCTGGGCAGCAGGGGGAAACATATAGTGCACAAGGAAGGTGATGTGGGGCAATTACTGGAACCGATCCCCAGTATGGCTCTCTCTGCAGCAGCTGAAAGCCGATTGGAGGGAGAGAAGAAGTCAGCTGCTGCAGCAAGAGCCATACAGGGGATCGGTTCCAGTAATTGCCCCTCATGCCCCACCGATCGCTCTCCCTGTGCACCATGTGTTGCTGCCTGCTTCCCAGGCCCCCCTGTCGCTCTTGTCTTTCCCACCGACAGCTGCAAGCACACAATAGGATCCTTTAGGATTGAGAGTGGGGGAAGGTTCTGGAAATATGTTACATTTACCAGCCCCTTCCTTTCCTGAATGAACACAATGAGTGATTGGGGGCTGTCTTGTTGTTTGTATGGGGCCCCGTGGTTTCTAACAGCAGCCCTGTGCATATCCTATCGAGCACTTTGGAGTTCAGAACATCTTTCTTGCAGGGGTGGGCTGGAACGTGACAAAAAAAGAAAAAAAAAATAGAGGAGACAAGTTTACTTTCAGTGTGAAGGTGGAAAAAAAAAACCTTGATTGAGACTTTATACATCTAGAAGAAAAATATATTTGAAATATATTTTAAAAATATTCTTTCCTAATATATTGACATATATTTTAAATGCTACAATCTTGGCCATCTTCAATATATTTCAAAATATATTTCAATAAATATATATATATACACTGTATGTTGAAATGCGTTTTTATTACAACATATATGAAAAATATTTTTCAAAATACATTTTCAAATATACTGGATGTCTTCAAAAATACAAATCTACATTTTTGGAACGCATTTACAAATATATGTAAAAATATATGTTAAAATTACTTTTTTATATGTTAAAAAAAATATGAGAAATATATTTAAAAAATATATATATTAAAAATACTTTTCATATATTTTGTAATATATAAAAAAACGCATTTATGTATATATATGTGTGTGTGTGTGTGGGGCAAAAAAGTATTTAGTCCCCACCAATTGTACAAGTTCTCCCACTTACAAAGATGAGAGAGGCCTGTAATTGGCATCATAGGGAGACCTCAACTATGAGAGACAAAATGAGAAAACAAATCCAGACAATCAGATTGGCTGATCTGGAAAGAATTTATTTGCAAATTATGGTGGAAAATAAGTATTTGGTGAATATGAAAAGTTCATGTCAATACTTTGTTATATATCCTTTGTTGGCAATGACAGAGGTCAGACGTTTCCTGGAAGTCTTCACAAGGTTGGCACACACTGTTGCTGGTATGTTGGCCCATCCTCCATGCAGATCTCCTCTAGAGCAGTGATGTTTTGGGGCTGTCGCTGGGCAACATGGGCTTTCAACTCCCTCCAAAGGTTTTCTATGGGGTTGAGATCTGGAGACTGGCTAGTCCACTCCAGGACCTTGAAATGCTTCTTACGAAGCCACTCCTTCGTTGCCCGGGTGGTATGTTTGGGATCATTGTCATGTTCGAAGACTCAGCCACGTTTCATCTTCAATGCCCTTGCTGATGGAAGGAGGTTTGCACTCAAAATCTCACGATACATGGCCCCATTCATTCTGTCCTGTACATGGATCAGTTGTCCTGGTCCCTTTGCGGAGAAACAGCCCCAAAGCATGATGTTGCCACCCCCATGCTTCACAGTAGGTATGGTGTTCTTTGGATGCAACTCAGCATTCTCTCTCCTCCAAACAAGACGAGTTGTGTTTCTACCAATCAGTTCTATTTTGGTTTCATCTGACCATATGACATTCTCCCAATCCTCTTCTGGATCATCCAAATGCTCTCTAGCAAACTTCAGACGGGCCCCGGACATGTACTGGCTTAAGCAGGGGGACACATCTGGCACTGCAGGATCTGAGTCCCTGGTGGCATAGTATGTTACTGATGGTAGCCTTTGTTACGTTGGTCCCAGCTCTCTGCAGGTCATTCACTAGGTCCCCCCGTGTGGTCCTGGGATTTTTGCTCACCGTTCTTGTGATCATTTTGACCCCACGGGGTGAGATCTTGCGTGGAGCCCCAGATCGAGGGAGATTATCAGTGGTCTTGTATGTCTTCCATTTTCTAATTATTGCTCCCACAGTTGATTTGTTCACACCAAGCTGCTTGCCTATTGCAGATTCAGTCTTCCCAGCCTGGTGCAGGTCTACAATTTTGTTTCTGGTGTCCTTCGACAGCTCTTTGGTCTTCACCATAGTGGAGTTTGGAGTGTGACTGTTTGAGGTTGTGGACAGGTGTCTTTTATACTGATAACAAGTTCAAACAGGTGCCATTGATACAGGTAATGAGTGCAGGACAGAGGAGCCTCTTAAAGAAGAAGGTACAGGTCTGTGAGAGCAGAAATCTTGCTTGTTTGTAGGTGACCAAATACTTATTTTCCAGCATAATTTGCAAATAAATTCTTTCCAGATCAGCCAATGTGATTGTCTGGATTTGTTTTCTCATTTTGTCTCTCATAGTTGAGGTCTCCCTATGATGCCAATTACAGGCCTCTCTCATCTTTGTAAGTGGGAGAACTTGCACCATTGGTGGGGACTAAATACTTTTTTGCCCCACTGTATATATATATATATATATACAGTTGCAAGGAAAAGTATGTGAACCCCTTGGGATTACGTGGAGTTTTGCATGAATTGGGCATAAAATGTGCTCTGAACGTCATCTAAGTCACAACAATAGAAGAACACAGTCTGCTGAACATAATACTACACAAACATTAGATGTTGCCATGGTTTAATTGCACATAACATGTAAACATTCACAGTGCAGGGAGGAAAAAGTATGTGAGCCTAGCTTAATGACTTCTCCCAGAGCTAATTGGAGCCAGGAGTGAGCCAACCTTGACTCCAATCAGTGTGATGATATTGGATGTGTTGCTGACACCTGTTTTGGGTTTACTGGTTCCAAGAAGCACTGTCTGATGTGAACCATGCCTCACAGAAAAGAGCTCTCAGAAGACCTACGATCAAGAATTGTTGACTTGCATGAAGCTGGAAAGGGTTACAAAAGTATCTCCAAAAGCCTTGATGTTCATGTGTCCACGGTAAGACAGACTGTCTACAAATGGAGAAAGTTTAGCACTGTTGCTACTCTCCCTAGGCGCGGTCGTCCTGTAAAAATGACTGCAAGAGCACAGTGCAGAATGCTGCATGAGGTAAAGAAGAATCCCAGAGTGTCAGCTAAAGACCTACAGAAATCTCTGGCACATGCTAACATTTTTGTTGACACATCTACAATAAGGAAAACATTAAACAAGAATGGAGTACATGGGAGGACACCACGGAGGAAGCCATTGCTGTCCAAAAAGAATATTGCAGCACGTTTGA